CCTTACCTGAATAACTTAGCTTAAATTAATGCTGAATTTGTTCATGGATGCGCTCATAAAACGCTGTGTGTATAGCAATCGGACGTGCTCATTGAATAATATTCCACTTTTACTTTCCGAAATGACCATAGCTGACATCTTTATAAAATTTAGTGGATAGAAGGTGCAGAAATGGATAGATGACTAGCGCTCAAGCACTTTTGCATAAACTAGAAGGTGAAACTGTCTAAGCTCCAAGCTTAACCATTCATTCAATGTAAGATAGACCTCAGGAAGCTGCTAAAGGGGGAAACTAAAACTGGTAGACAACTCCCAAATTTTAGACATTGTTTTATGATTGGATGCTGTGGTGCTTTGATCCTCAAAATCGCCCAGAAACCGGGATAATTGCCCCGCAAACAGGCAGGTAAATATTGTCTTATTGGTTTACGGAAAGCCCGCCGCCGCCAACTCCCTGTTTTGACCGCGATGCTGATCTGTCAAGCCTTGCCGTGGAGGGCATTATGTGAATTAACCGTCAATCGTAAATGCATACCGAACCCAAAACATTTTAAGGGTTAACTTCGGCTCCGAGGATAAGGAACACCAGTAACACTATGCGCATTATATTATTACATTGTGGCGAAATCACCAAGGCATTTGTGAGGAAGCGACAAAGAAAAACACCGTTAAAGTGTAATGCGTTAATTATTTAATTGCCGGTTTTGGTGAGGGGTCCACCGAAGGCTCCACCATTGTACCCCCGGACCATAGCAGTAACCCCAAGCCCTATTGTACATTGACACTGCATATTCTACCGGTGTATTATCTGTTCTTTCGCCTTTAGAGAAGTCCCGGCGAGCAACTAAATGTATGATTAGCAAAGTGGTACAATTGAACAACAATTTTTTTTTATCTATAAAAGCAAGATCTCTAGTACTTCAAGTTTAGAAAAGCCTTTTATCTATTTCAAACACAATTCTTCTTATTGTGCCCACCGAGTGCACCACACAATATCCTAATCAAAACAGACGGGGTGACCAATGGTATGTTTTTTGGCTTTGATTCATGCGCATTCATCAAATTGATGGAATTCGAGTAAACAAACCCAAATTGCCTCAAATGAGAATCTATTTAATTATGCAGCTTCAAGGTTTGGTGAGCCAATGAAACCGCAGTAGGTGAAAGCAACCGGCATACACATTTTGGCAATTTGCCCAACGCTTTTGAGATAGCACAATACAGCCGGTGGTTTCCTTAAACAACTTCTACTCTGATTTTGCTGCCTAGAAGAGAAAGCAGGAGCAAACACTGCGCAAGTTGGCGGTACGGTCTACTAAGAAGGCCGCCTTTTCAGTCGTTTATCAGCTCATTTAAGAGCATGACCACCGACAGAACTGTTTGTGTTCAATTTTGACGAGGAGTTCTGCGGTTTATGGATGGAGTAGTATTTAATAAAACAAACCATCATCATTATAATTGCTGAATAAATTAGATGAACGTATCTTTAGCATAAAAGTGTAATCTGTGAACACCGATAAGTGATATTAAAACGCATCACACTAACCAACTCTTTCAAAAATGTTGCTGAGATTTGCAGCAAATACAGTCAGAGTAACAAAATTGGCTCCCTTAAAGGAAGTTATGAATAGCTTTAACCGGATTATTTGAACTATCTCATTGTTGAATTGGAAAACAATAGTGATTTACTCGTAAATAATTTGAAAAGGCAAATTGATAAATGGAAGCAGTGGTTTACACGTCTAGACCGATTTAATTCGTAATTTAGGATATATTTCAGTACAAACACCCACGTACTTGTGCCTACTGGACGAAAGAACATGCTCAACAGCTTGTCAATGTTTCATACTCTCGAACCGTTTTTTGCCTTTCGGTAGTACTCACTTTTCATTGCCAGGAATGAGTACGCAACTCAGTATAGCCAGATTTGAGAGGTGAAGACGGTCAAAATAACCCACCTGGAGCACCTTGTAAAAGTCCTTCTATCCGCTACTAGTGCCACTACATTGA